TATTTATGCCAAATATCACGAACAAATCATGCTATTATTTGTTTATACTACTACCCACAAAAGGTTTGTAATTTTCTCATGTAGGTATTTCAAATTAAGCTGAAATACCACTGCTCTAAGCCAATCAAATTGCAGAAATTTCTCATGTAGTAGTATAATATCATAAATAGAATGATCCAGTGATTTTGTTACAAATAGTTATGGTGAGTCCTGGGACTCATATTGTGAAAAATCATGAGACCAATGAGTCCCAGTTGAATAAAAACGAGCCCGAAATGGAAAATGCTTAGGCCTTTATGTAACCAGACAGTTAATCTGACTCCATAACTCTGTATTACAGAATACCGAAAATAAAATATAGTCTTCTTTTTTAAAACACAACAAAGGCTAAAAGAAATATGCATTGTTAAACAACAGCTATAATAACTGCCACAGAAATTGCACGAACGGGATCTATTCCAACAAATACACATGTTCAGATCGATAAATCGGTCTTTGCGTCCTGTAGGACGCATACCATGAATTATTTTGCGTCTGTGGGAATTTTGTGTCAGGGACTCAGAACGCAGAGGTAACAAAATCACTGATGATCGATTCCTAAGTGGGTTTGCACTTGCAATTGAGCATTGAACTGCTACCTACGTATGGCTTTGCCTTCTTCGTTTGTAATTTGTACTGAATTTATTTGTTCTCTATGGAAAAAACAAGAACATTGTTACGAAGTTTTCTCGAAGCATGTCCTCTCAAGACAACTCTTAAATCGTGTCTCAGCCCTGGAAAAAGCGAGTCTGAGGGCGTTTGTCTGCAAATTGGCAAAAGGGAACCTGTGGGCTCGTATTTCTTATCTTTTAGGAAATGAGGGTCAATTGTTTTAGACGTTTAGCTAATTTTTAGATATGTAAGTAGTGCTATATGCATTGTAGAATTCCTTTGAAGGCTTCATAATAAAAACGTCTAAGCCTCCTTTATCAAAACAATTACGACGAGTGAGTTGTTTACGCCGAATTAGAGTTTCCTGGTTAAACACTCCTGTTGATTTCTATGACCAAAGCCCTTTCTCCAGACTTAACTCACTGCGGCACCTGTTTCCGTGTTTAGGGTACGTTGCCAGATAGAACAGATTTACAGCAAAGATTTTGAAGACGACCAGAACCTCATGGTTCGTGTTTTATGAAGGCTAAATGTCATTTGGCTGCCAAAACATTAAAACACGTTCTGAGAAATGCGAGACCTTTTAACAACTCCATGTATTTTCGCGCGCACTACATCAAGAAAGTCTTACTATGACGCAACTCATTTGCTTCGCTCATTTTAATTGAGCGGGCGAGACGTTCATCTCACTGGAAAAAAGTGTTTTTTTCGGTCACTTTAAAGACAAGAACTAGTAGTTTTTAGTTTTTTCAGTGTTTGTTTTGGATGCTGCAAGACAAGAAGGTAAGCTTTAATAGCTGTGCACACTTTGTAAAAGGAAAGAAAGAATGAAAAAGCGGTGTTTCGCTCTTTGCTGTCACAATTAAGTTTCCCGAAGAGTTTTTTGCCAACAACCAGTTTTAGTTATATGGCAGAAGAACAGTGAAAAAAGGGCGTTTTATGCGAGCGAGGTAATCGTTGTCACGCGAGGAGAATGCAAATACCTCTCTCTCTTGGAGTAAAATTAATATGTTTTAAACGAGAAAATTTTCGCAAACTTTTTGAAAAGAAAACAAGTTTCAGTTGCCATGGCGCTGCAAGTGAAACCTTTGAACGCAGCGCGTGCTCTCAGTTTAAAGCGCGCAATTCGAATCACGATTCTTCTTTGACGTTCGCATGGTACCTTTAAACGGCAGCGCCGTTTTTATTCACATTGGGCTAAATCTACGTTTAGCGCGAAAAAAAGACAAAGAAAAATTTATAAGTTTTTTTTCCGCGCTAACCGTAGGCGACAATGAATTGTGGGATGGATCGTCGCATCTGCGCAGCAGTCTGGGAACGAAAATAATATCGAGCGCCCTATCAACAAAGATGGCGGCATGGAAAACAATCAAACAAGGGAGCTTTTTTGGGTAATCGCTGGTGATTGAGCTTTAAACATGGACAGAAAGGATTCAGATGTTCATGATAATTTCTTTGCGAGCTTAAACCAACTAATTTTAAGCTTGGAACCGGCTATAAAGGAAGCAGGGTCTGTTGCAGCGGCCGAAGACATTTTGACACACCTGGAGGCAACTGATGAAAATTTTCACAGGTTTGTTTTAACTCACTGACATGTTAGTAAGCTTGCAGCTTTCCATTTAAACATTTTTGTTTTACTCGAAGAATTTCGTTTGAAGTAGAGTATCGCAGTAGAACATCAAATTCTTAAATCCTGGCCAACCATTCATAGCGTCCGTAGGCAGAAGCTACTAATAATATTATTTATAGTTGACTCCTCGGTAGACCGGCGCTCATCCAAGTGAGAGCTAACCAGCTAACCAGAAGATGAGTTATAAGTTGTTACCTGAGAGAAATTAGTGCGGATTTGTGTGAACCTTGCGCCAAGTCTTCCGTGTTTTTTTTTTTTATTAATAAGGATGAATTATAAGCTTAAATGTACATGTATCTGAGCCATTTTGTTTCTAGCCCGGGTCACCTTTGCAAAATCAACAGTTAAGTAACTAAATGTATTATAAATGTGCATAGGTTACCATGGGATTAGTATTACCAGCCATGGTTTTTTATAAGCATCTCCTCACCCCAGACCTCAGGAAGGTACTCGTTGATTTGAATATACATAATAGAGACCTTAAGATTCGAGGACGAGGACGGGAACGACTACGAGTATGAGATTTGATGTAAAATTTTTTTGCATATTTTCAACTATAGACTCTCGGGAAAGCTTCATTTTACCATTTTTCACTAGAAAATTTAGCACTGTTATCTTAAGTGAAGGAGGTTACGCCCCCTCCCGATCGCGAAATGATAAAACTTCTAACATTTGATATCTTGTCTACGCCACTTTGACATTCTTGCTAAGCTTCATAGTAGACTGATGACGGCTACCAAGTTTTCCCACCAAAATGATGACGTTGGTTCGTGCATGTGCACTACTTAGTACTGAGAAAATCTTGTACTCGTAGTTGTACTAATCTTAGAATCTAAAGGTCTCTGTGGAAATTCTCCAAGGAAATAAGAACTTGGAACAGTCATACATATGAATTCCAGATTCCCTGTAACTCTAAGAATACCCTTAAATTCTCCCTTTTCCCGAGGGCCTCTAGGGAGTGGAATACACTCCCAGCAGAGGTAGGGTTGTCTCTATCGCTAGCTGTGTTCAACGAGAAAGTGACTACTTTTATGTACTACAGTCCAAACTAGCCTAGTCAATATATATGTATATGTATTTCTTTTTTAACAGTTAGTGTGATACCTCACCTGCTTTACTAACTTATTAAAAGGTAAAGGTAAAGAAGATTCAGATGGTCTAATTAAATTAACTTGCACAAAACATCCTGAACTTCCTGCTAGATATGACTTTGTGAGGCAGCTTCGAAGCCGTATTGACAATACACTTACACCATTGATCGACAAGAAGTTAGAGCGACTTGATGGAAGAGAGGGGGACAGGAACAACACCCTTCCAGTGATAACTGAGGAGATTATAGCTTCACCAGAGTGAGTAACAGTTAATACACTGAAGGAATACATTGTAATCTTTATATACTGGGGAGCAGCTGTGTAATAAAGCATTTCTATTATTTTATCTTGTCTCATTGCAGATTTAGGGGTGGGCCAAGGGGGCTGCAGCCACCCCTTTTCCTTTGAAATTTAATTGTATTATTTTTATTGAATTCCGTCTCAGAAAAATAAAAAGTATCTAGAATAGAGCTGTTAAATTTAATGTCCTGCCACCCATTTCTGAATTTTCTGGGTTTGCCACTAAGTCTTTCCATGACCCTGATAGAACCAGGGAAGGTTAATTGAATACTAGGACATATTGGATACAAGTTTACAGGGATATGTGTGTATTACTGTAAGAAAATACTATTATTAATATTATTATTATTATTATTATTATTATTATTATTATTATTATTATTATTATTATTATTATTATTATTATAATCTGATATAATGCTGTGTTTTTACTTTCTTGGTACATATAGGATGGCATAAAATATCTAGGCTGTGTTATAGCATTACATTGTTTATTTTGCTCCTGGGCAATTTGAAAATCTTAGTTTTCCATGAAAACCATATCCCGGGTACCCTGGATTTCTTAGGTTCAGAGAAATGGGCTCCCTTCAATTATTCTTAGTGCACATCCTTGCATATTAAGTATGATCTTTTTTGCACTTAAAACTTCTACCTGCTGCTACAGTGTATACCTTGAGATGTTGTCTGAACATTTTAATGGACTTTTCTTCCAAGTCTAAACAAACTAGAACTGATCTTATCCTGTTTCTACGACAAAGATGCATGTATGTCGATCACAGTTAACAGCCAGCCTACATTGTTAAGACAGTATTCTCATTTTGTCTTTTTTATGCTTGCTACACTGGTCACTGTTGACCATCCTCTTACCCTTGCAGGTTTATTAATCTCCAGCAGTCAATATTAGCAGATACAAAGGATGCTGTGAATGCACTGGTATAATTCCTTACAAATACTCAATAATTAAAAATGTTACCAGTAGTCTAAAGTGATCTTCCTAATCTTCATAGCCAAGGTCATACAGGTGTACGGTTTTCAATCACTTAATTTCTGCAGAATTTAAGACCTGGAAAAAATAGAAAGTTCTTATGAAAATTAGCAATGCAAAATTTAATAACTGATAGTTTATCCTCTGTGCATTTTGTATATGTACACTCTGAGCTATCATACATTGTATGTTCAATTAAGAAGAAGCATACTTCTTGAGTTGTTTGAAACATGGCTATCAATAGTACTGCATGTAACCCAGTTCTTGAAAAATTCTTAATAGTTTTTTTGAATGTGATATTTTCTGACAAATCGTCTTGTCCATTTCTCAGCCATTTTTGGTAAAATTAAGTTTTGTAATAACTAGTAATACTAAAAAGAAGCATGTAATCACCTGTTATAACTTAATGTAACTTATATTTTGATTTTCAGATCCAAACTTTTTCTCAGAATCCTCGCCTTCGTTTATCTGACTATGAGCTCACAGAAAACAGGGGCCGAATGGCACCATTCAGATTATCGCTGGATTCAAGTGATGAAGATTCATCCATGTCATCTTCATTTGGACAGGTATAACTGCAGCAAAGTATTGATACGTTGGTTACTTATAAATCATTCTCTTTGAAGATGCAGGTGCCTTTCACAAGGTCTAAGAGGTCATATAGTCCCCTTTTTCAGCCCAGCCTGTCCAGTGTTAATGGTATACAACAGTGGGAAGGATAAGCAGTGTACCAGATGACATAAAGCCAAAACGCATGTGGTTTCTCTAATATTATAGACAGTAGTGTCAATAAGGTGGCAATATTCCATTAGTCTGAAATTTTAGCCATCTCTTTACATTCCTCCCCCCCCCCCCACCACCCCCCTCCTCAACAGGCTGCTGCAGGTGGGGTAGGGTGAAGGGATGACTGACAATTCAGACTAATATTATACTGGAAAAAGCAAAATTGCTGGCTACTCACTCATTAATTTTTTAATGGGCCATTTTTTGAACCTGGAAAATGGTTTATCCCGATTGTACATCAGCTTAAATTATGGTAATATTGTTGTTATTTGTATTATTTGCTATATTTTACTTTTTGTCCTTAATTTTTCTTGAACTCTTGAATTTTTTTCCCTTCTCTGGGGTCAACTGCATTGGGACCTTGCGTTTGTTTGTTTGCCTCTGTAATTTGCTTATTATTTTTTGTACACTTAATGAAAGTCTCTAATTTTAATTGATAAGAAAATATGAAATAATTAAGTGAATGCAAACCAGCCTATATCAATTAATAAACAAAGGGACTAGACTTAAGTTGTGGAAGAATTACTCCACTCTTTTCATTTCCTACCAAATAAAGATCTAAGCATGCAAGTACATTACGTATGTTTCATTGTCCTACATGTACTTTGTACCATGGTATATTTTTCCTCTTTGGTTTTTTAGACTGGGTTTATGTTTAACATGACACCTGAGAAGTTTAGTGAGATTGCAGAGAATCTTGATCCTGATAAACCACTGCAAGTGAGTCAAGCCTTATGATAAGTAATAACTTTTTCTATTTTGAAAAGTAACTTATTTAATTTTTGAATAAGTTACTTTTCAAAATTGAAAGAGTTCCAAAAAGTGTTTGTCTACTAAAACAAAAGTGACGTTCCAAAATTCAGGAATTTTGAAACACTTTAAAAAATGACCAAAAACCCTTAGGAATGTGTACAAAACAGTACCCAATTTTTGTGTATGTCAAATATGCAAAAGCTTAAAGGTCTGGAGCAAGGCTGAAAATGAAGTGTAAGACTAGGGAGAGATGACAGGCATATGAGGTTTGCCTGTTTAGTGTGAGCGAGACTCTGACAATGTGCTGGCACTTTGCACCTACATAGTAAACAATTTTGATTGTGATTTTGAGGGGAAAAACCTACTGTTTTACAGTCTTTAAGGACGTTCTTGCAAAGAGAGCTTCATTATTTACTACAGGTGTATTTGTATTCTTGTAATTATTTTTAAAATTAATTGAAATTAAAAACACAGGTTATTCTCAATCAATGTATACTGTGTCTTATTCACTGATTGACAGGTGCGGATTAATGCATTGAATACACTCTACCAGTTTCCGCTTTCTGATGAACTCACAAGTAAAAATTCAGAAGGAATAAGAAAAGGACTCTTGGCTGCACTGGCAGATGGAGATGAGCATCTTGCAGTATGTCTGAAAACCTTATTCTTCCAAATACTGCAAAC